ACCAGCCGGTCGATTCCCACCTCCCCCTTCTTCACTGAACCGTACGGGGTCCTGGCCAGGATCTCGTACAGCTGCAGGAACAGAACACTGTGACTGGACCGAACCGAACCTTCACTAATCCTCCCTGTCCCGGCTGAATGTCACCTCACTTCAACGTCTGAAGGTTTCTTTTCTTGGGCTTTCAAAAAAACTCTTGAAAGGTTCACTGTGACGGACCTGGTTTCCTTTTGTCTCTCGTCTTTGTGCTAAGCTAAGCTAACTCTGAATCATCTCGTTGTGGAGACGACAGCAAACAACACGAGGAAGAGTTGCTTTGGTTTGGGTCCGGTTCAACAGAGAGACAGAACGGCTCACAGGTGATGTATAGAAAACGTTCCTGTAATATGATGGAGCAACAACGGTGGAACATTTATCTTTAGTCCTCCTACCGTGAAGAAGAACGTTCTAAAAACATTTGTTGAAATGTTTCTATTTAGATCTAAAACACTTTTCGCTGCACGTTGGTTTGCTGTGAAAACAACAAACAGGATTCTGGATGTGACTGTTTTGTTCAGGGTTTTAGTCGAAGAGCATATTTGTGTTTGTGTTGCTTTGTGTTGAGCAAACACACAAACAGCAGTCGGGCGGTTCTGGTTTGTCCACTGTAGATGCTGCTGTGATGTTTCCAGTGAAGGTGGAGCTCAAAAACAAGTTTATGTGTTTGTTCCCATATTTACTGTCAGAAACTGGTTTCCATGGGTCACTTGTGGAGCCTGAAACAGGATCAAGCAGCCATGTGGGATCTGGCTTTTCTACACATATCAAACGCAGGAATGTTTCGCTGAGAACGTGACCAGCGGTAAAGGTCGGGTCATTCTGGAGGGACTGGTTGTGTCGAGGAGCACATCTGCAGAGACAATAAAAACGTATTTGATGAAGACGTCAGAAACGGTTCTTGTGTCTGGATTCATTCATGTCTTTGCTCTCGTCGTTCAGGACGTTGTGCTGCTGCTCTGAATGGTTCACGTCCAGGTCACCTGAAGCTCTCTGACTGTTGTCACTGAAGAGTCAGTCTCGGTGAAGAAGTTGCATCAAAGAGCTCAGAATTCGTAGTTTTTTACAGAATCTGTTGGGAGCAAACAGTTCTGTTCTGGCAGATTTTGAATCAGGTATAAAATAAAGAGATTTAAAAAGGTTTGTCTGAACCAGGAGATGAGAAAAGGTCCCTTGAATCATTTCTCAGAGTAGAACCAAATGACTGTGATGAAGTTTGAGGATTTTAGGCTCAGATTTGGTTCATTTTCCAGCACGTCACAGACGATGCGTTCAAAGAGCATCTGAAAGCTGGAAGCTTCTGTTGTCACAGCTTCTGGCTGATAAATGGACTCATTCTGGAGACTTTTAGAGAGAACGTCTTTCAAAGCTGCCGGCTAGTTTGGGGTTCTGAGGTTAAAGCAGCAGAAAGGCTGTTTGGTTGTTTCTCTGATGAACAGAATAAATGTTGTTCTGTGACGTCCTGCAGAGCCTGAACTCACCACCTGGTGTCTCTGGGTGGTCTTGAAGAAGGTCTCTTTGTGGTCGCTGCCCAGAAACCTGCAGACAGAACACAGATGTGAGGACTGAAGCTGCAGCTGGACCGTGAGGACGGAGTCTCAGTGGGCCGACCTCTGCAGCTTGTTGGTCCTGAACTGACAGGTGTAGAAGTCGGCCGGAGGGTTGGGGACGTCCTGGGACAGAGGGTTGGGGAGGGACAGCTTGGACAGGACCACCTCAGACCAGTTCAGGTTTGGAGCCTCCACCACCTGCAGGACCACGAGGATCAGTAATAATGTGACTGAATAAAACATGTGAACCGGTGAGACAGAAGAAGAAGGTCACCAAGTCAGTGAATGTACCACAGACCAGCTGCAGTACCTGGTTGTTCCACCAGGTGGAGCCTCTCACTGTCTAACCCTGTAGAGACCAGAGGAGGCGTCTACAGACTGCAGCTCATGGTGGCAGCAGAGAGCATTGTGGGAGTTTAGCAGCAACGGGACCATGACCGAGACTCTGAGGAGGTTCAGGACCTCCAACCAGCGCTGACAGTCGGGATCTCGGGTTCTACAGCCTAAAATGTTCTGTTCTTGCTAAAAGAAACACTGAAGTGTCTGAGCTTCCTGAACGTGACATTTAAAGGCAGCCAGGTGAGAAATGATTCGACCTTTTTCCAGTGTTCACCTGCAGAGGGACTCTGAGACTGATCTCCTCGGCGTAGTAACAGAGGACGCTCCAGGGGGCGCTGAGGAGGACGAAGCAGATCTTCTTCTTCTCCTGGAGGACGACCTTCTGCAGAGGAAACACAGAAACCATCATCCACAGCCTCCACAGAGTCACCTCGCTTTGGGTGGAAACTCTGACGTTTGTTCAGTCCTGAGGCCAAAACACACATCGGACAGAAAACCTGACGAGAAACGAGCAACGAAAAACTGACAGAACAAACAGGAAGGACGTCTGGTTCCTACAGCACGGCTCAGAGGCCCCGATGAAGACAGAGAACCTCTGAGTCCAAAACCCGGCAGGTTAGAAAGATCTGTTGTCTTTATCTAAACATCCAGGATGACACATTCATCAGCCAGAAACTGTAAAAACACAACCATGAGACGGTCCTTGAACACATCATCGGTGACACGCTGGAAAATGAAGCAGATCTGAGCTCATGATTCATAATGTCTCGTTCCAAAGCACACGGTGGAGCAGAAATGAGACGAAGAGTCCCAAAGAGAAACCGAACAACAGACACAACGACAGGAAGGAGACAGACTCGACCCAGAGAGGCGAGAAGTAACACAAACAAGACAATAAACAACAACAGAGACACAAAATGACGAAACTGTCCCAAAATCACACAACATGACAGAATGACCACAAACAGGAACAAAACAAAACATGACATAAATGAGACAGAAAGAGTCTGTAAACATGTCAGTAGCTGAACATCTGCAGTGTGAGGAGACACAGGAGGTCCAGGGTTGGACACGTCGGCTCCACATTTCTACACTTCTGTAAAATAAGCAATCAAAGAAATTCAACGTCCTCTCTGGTCTTCATGGTTCTGACTGAGTCCTGCTGACAGAAGACGTCTCTGAGTTCTGTCTCCTGCTTCATGTGGTTCTGGTTCCACAGAGCTGCAGGACTTTATGCTGAAACATGAACCTCAGTGAGGAACATCCATCCATCATCTCTACACCTTCATCCTCAC